ATAATGAATTCTATTAGAGAATTCAAAAAAAAAAAAACAGAATCTAGGTTGAAATTACAGCTATAAATTAAAATGTCTAGATTTTCATTATATGTTTTACATAATGCCGAAAAACGCATAATGCTGAATAATTAGTTTCATCCAAGTAAATTACTTGAATTTTTGATAAGAGCGACTAAGATCTCTCAAAACTTTGCGGAGTCAATGAAATTTATTAAGTTTCTTGATTAAAGATGCTCTTTGGTCTTTAATCGATAGTTTGCTTTCCGTAAAATACAAAGATACRTACGGTTGTTTTGGCGGGAGATGTGTAATAGACCGTGACCTTCGAGATKTTCGTCTCCGCTCTGCCACGAAATATGTTTTCCCCCAATCAATTCTTTCTTCACTTCGATAAATAAGACTTTAAAGTATCAAAATGTAGTATCGAATCAAAAATAAACAGCCGCTGCTTGAAAAGAGAAAATTTCGAAATTTGGATAAATTTGAGTTTACAAAAATCTCGTTTACTATCCCAATTCTAAGTCTATTCTTCAAAATACTGATATGATACCCTTGACCTATTAGAACTTTTTCGAAGCAAGATAGGGATGCTAAAAGTACTCAAAGAGGTTCGCTGTAAAATTCGTTCAGGAAGTTTGATTTTTGACTACTCAAAGTTGACTTAAATTGACATAATTTTGAGCCTTTAACGGCTCAAAAATGAGGGGGGTGGTCAATTCTGAAAACCAAAGTTTGAAAAATTATTTAAATGTCACCAAAGGTATTCATATCAAGTAAGTATCACATGGTAGGAATGTCTTTGAAATCGGCTGACCCCCATCTTTTGTGCCTGCCTGGTTTTCTCAGACAATGACTCTTAAGCTAACAAGTTAAATTTTGCGATTTGSGATTAAGCTGAAGAATCAAATATATCTCCAATATTTCTTCACTTTATTGAGGACAAAATGACATTTTATTACACTAGCTGATGGTTGTTTGTAATTGTAATTAAGCAAGCGGTGCAGTAAAAATAGAAATAGATTTGATCCCTAAACAGAAAATTCTGGGACCTCATAGACATACTGGCCAATTGATTTCTGTCTGCAAGATAAGAAAAACAGGCAAGGATGTTATAACAGAAACGATAACTCGAAACAGATAGAGAGGAGGATGTTTTGATCTATGGCAGAGGATAAGAATGACTGATCGTTTATCGCCTATTGTTTGAGATACATCTGTGTGGACTTTGATGGACAATGTGGACAATATCAAAATTGGCCTCTTCAAAGCATRGTAGTTTTGAAAATATCCCACTGTATCAATCATTGAAGTAAAATGTCCTGTGACATCACCATATAAGTGATCGTTGAATATGAAGGGATTCACCTGGGATGAACTCTTTTTGATGCGGATTTGATGTTAAATCTCAGTCGAATTCTGTTCACGTGGTAGACTTCAAACCCAAGACATGCTGATAAAAATCTGATTACAAGCTACGGCAGGGTTAAGGATTGCCCAGTTTCAGTATGTGCGATAATGTTCTGATTATATTTATGGCAATTCCAAATATTCACTATCAGCAGTACAGGGATGTAAAAATGGCTTAATGATAAACTGTTCAAAATAAAAAATAGATACATCCAAGCAATTTATCTGCCAATAAATTCAAATAAATCTTATCCCCCAAAAATAYAGGTTCACTATAAATCTTGTTAGGCAGAATGATAACACAATAACAAGATACCCACCTAATTGTTATCTGGACTTATTATTATAACAAAGCACTGAAACTCAACACTAATTCTCTTATTTATCATAAATGGTTTTTCATGTCTGCCTACTACTAGCAGGTCACTGTTAACACTGTCTTACATTATTAACTATTTGTCTGCCTTTACAAATTAATAATCACAACAGTCGTGCTCACTATGACTTCTATTTGGAGTCAATTCTCTTCTTACCTGTTATCTAAACAAATTGAAGAGATCTGCTGGCAATGGCGTTGTCCATATTTTTTGGCTAGTTCAAGCAAAGGCTGTAGGAAGTTGCAAGGTTTCATGATAAAAGATATTTTGAAGCACGATAGTAGCAGATATGAAGGATTACAGGCTGTTTTGGCATCATCAACCGGTGAGTTTCTTGATCTAATACTTAAATTGAATGCTGAACATGCTACACGAATACGTCACTGTTACAATAACATTTAAACCAGTGTAAACCTTGATTAAAACACAAGAGTGAAAACTGTGAAAAAGACTGTTGTTTGTTTGAATTCATGTCTGCTCTTACAGTAAACTTTCAAGGCTAGAAGATTAGCACAAACAATTGACAAACCTATCCATTAYTAAATTCCAAGTCTTGCTAGCTTGATTTATTCAAAACAATTAGGTACAGAAAATTATTTTGAGATCTTTACAGTCAATTGATTTTAATTTCACGTAGAGAAAACATATCAAGTCAGTTTTATTGCACTACTAAATTAAATTATTCCAAGTCACATGTGAAATAGAATTACTTTCTTTCCCTTCCATTCCCTATTTTGACTACTAGTGGAAGGTTTGGTATGCGTGTGTCAAATCAGATCGTTCGAGTATTTTTTCAGCTGAATCGGTCATGAATCACGAAAACTTTAGATAACTTCTAGTCTGCGAAATGAAGGCTTTGAAGGCTTTCTCATTTCAATTTTTTGATATATTTAGTATTTTGCAAGACTTTATTAATTTCATCTTGATTTCCTCAAGTATGTTAAGGCTTGAGTTATTCGGTCTTGACGCACGATCAGCTTGTATTTTCTGTAAAACTAGTTTCGTTTTATTGTAAAACCTCCTCAGTTACAAGACTTTTCTAATATAACATCCGTTGTATGCGTTATTTCAAAATATGCATTGCACGCTCAMCGATAGCGCGCGCTAACGTTCTTCTAGAAGAGTGCGCAAAAAAACATATAACCATAGACTATTCAACTATCGCCCGTGGCAAACT